TGGGATGTAGCTGGTACCCCATTGAGTAAATGGCAAAATGTCAAGAGAGTGGGCAGATAAGGAAAGCACTGGGTAGGAGGTGGTATAGGACAAGGTCTTAGTGGAAACTAGAGATCTGAGGAGGCTACAGAGACATTCGAAGCACGTGTTGTGGTTTGGGGGTGCTAGGAACACTGAAATACAAGGGTGCAGGGCAGGTCTGCCTCAAAAGAATTCGACCACTCAAGCCTTCTTTCAGTCAGAGTTGTGAGGTTTTATTATACACCCATTGGGTGGCAAGATTTCTAGTAAATCTGTGGCATTTGTGATGCCAATACAAGTGGTCAAGATTCTAAGAATCTGAACAATTTAATGGGGGTAAAATTGGTATTTTTACTGTGAAAAATGTGGATAGGATTAAGGAGTGGCAAGTAGCCTGGGGTGGTCAGGAGGTAACAGAGAAGGGGTCCAAATGAGATTAAGGTGTGGCAAGTAAGCTAATTAAGTAATCAAGGTGGGCTGCCCTGGGCCAGATACCTTGAATGGAGCACCTGTGATCTGGGCTACTGAAATACATGGGAAAATTCAGGGACTGAGTAGCTTTCAAAGACATGGTCTTTTCCTTTCAGGCGTTCAGGTCCCATGACCCATCACATGAATGCAGAGAAGTGAGAAAAGGTTTGGACTTGGGAGCCAGGAGATTTAGGCTAGGCCCTGGTGGTAGTGGACGACTCTGCCATCTGCATAATGCTCAGCCCAGTGGTTCTCAGACTTTGGGGGGTCCTGAACACCAAAATTTTTGAGGAACCCCCAGATAGCTTTTGTTTACATGGGTTCTATCAATCAATTATATTAGAAACTAAAATGGATAAAATTCAAAAATAATTATTCAGTGAAAATAAACTCATTACATGTTAACATAACATATTTTAATGAAAAATAACTTCATAATAAAAAAAAATTAGTGAGAAGTGGTGTGGCAAATCTCTTTACTATCTGGCTTAATGGAGGCCCACGGCATTCTCACATCTGCATTTGCATTCAGCCTGTTGCATAATGTTGTTTTGGTTGAATTTGGCCTCCCACAGAGGTGTGGTTGGAAAAGAGAGGTGTACTTTAACAAGCAAATTGTGTCTTAGAGCATGAGGAAAGTAGGCTTGTCCTTTCTGACCCCCTGAAAGAGTCTGGGGAGCCTCCCGGATCTGGGGACCACCCTAAGAGCCACTGGCCTGATCTTTCCTGACATCCTTTCCAACATGAAAGGCCTGAGTCTGCTCTGTGGATGACTTGGGGGCAAGAATCAGAGATGCAAACAGTGTCAGGGAAGATAAGGATCTTAGAAATACACTTCTCCAAGCCTCCTTTGACAGATAAGGAAATGAAGCTTCCAGCCTGGATTTCCTGCCCCTAAGAATGTATGTATAGGCGGACAGAGGCACAGTCTCTGTGATCTTAGGGGCAGAGACTGCTCCTTCCATTTCGGTCGCTGTATCATGGTCTAGCCCAGGTGCCTTTCAAGAGGTGTTTAATCAATATGCTAAATTGATGCCCAGTGGCTAGAGGGCTGGGCCTGGAGTTCCAGAGACCTGGGTTCAAATCCCTCCTCAGACATTTACTGGTTGTGTGACCCTGAGCAAGCCACTTACCCTCTGTCTGCCTCAGTTTCCTCAACTGTGAAGTAGGGATAATAATAGCATCTACCTCCCAGGGTTGTGGTGAGGATCAAAGATGTTTGTAAAGTGCTTTGCAAACCTTAGAGTGATTATAAATACTAGTTCTTACTGAATTTCACACCTTCTGTTCTTGCATGGCCCTCATGTCCAAACATCTATCTCCCTTCCCTCCCCCGCCCCACTCCCCAGAAGACATCTTGTGCAACAAAGAACGAAACATAAAGAGGAAAACATCTTGACCCAGCCAAGCCACACTGGACTGAATGTGAGGGCCCGTGCAGCGCTCCTGGAGGCAAAGGCGTGTCTCCAGGGGAGAAGGCAGGGCTCTGTTGGGGGGGGGGGGCACACTGGCTCATGTCCTCCGTTCTCTTCCATTTCAGATGTCCTTGGATTAAGTAGCCTAGCCAGGCTTCAAGGCCCGTTCCCCAGCAGCGCTGCCCAGCCCGGCCCTTCCACCTTTCTGAGTTCTCCACTTTGTCCCCAAGGCCAGGCTGCACGATGTTTCTGTTGGCCACAGGTGCCTGCCCGGGTGTAAATTAGTCTGTGCCCTGATAGAATGGAAAGCCTGTGGGGGCAGGGTCTGCTTCCTGGCTGAAGGGTCAGCCTGGCAGAGGGGCAGGCTGCTGTCTAGGAGCCAGGGAGTCCAGGCTCTGACACATGCCAGCTCCGTGACCCTGCGCAAGTCTCAACCTCTCCACCTTCTCCTAGATCACCCTAGACTGCAGAGAGGGGCCCACCTGCATTGGGAGAGGGGCTTTCCTCACCTGGGGGTCCCTCCCAGGTCTGGCTCCTAGCCCAGCACAGGACAGGTGGTTGATTGACCCCACCCCTAACTGGGGTAAACATCAGCCCAGGGGTGGGAACCTGCAGCCTCAAGGCCACATGTTCAGCCTTTTGACCGAATCCAAACTTCACAGAACAAATCCCCTTATTAAAAGGATTTGTTCAGTAAAATTGGACTTAGTCAAGAGACCTAGAAGGCCACAGGTGACCTCGAGGCTGCAGGTTCCCCACCCCCACACCAGCCTCATCACCTCCACACAGTAAGAAACTGTCTGGAGAGGTTGAGGACTAACCACAGGTCACTAGCATTCCCACTTGGGCACTTTTGATTCCAGGTTCAGCCACACCTGTCTCCTGGAGACCATAGTTATGCAGGGGACGGTCTGAGGAAACAGTTTGTCCAGGAGAGATGGAGGGCAAGGGAAGGAAAACCATCCTGGTGGGTCCAGATGTCGCTGCCCCTCCTGGAGGCAGGAGGCAAAGGAGATGGACTTTCCTGGGAGCCCTCCCTTCTAGGCACTGGAACAAACCCAGGTAGGGTCTTCATGCATGTCAGAGTACCCAGCTCTAGTAGAAACAGGTGGTGGAGAAAAGACCTGAAGGTCTCAGTGAACCACAAGGCCTGTGGCCATGACCCAGCCTGGGCACACAAGGCCAGGAGGTGAGAGGCCCTCCCTCCTCTCTGGGTTCAGTCCATCCTGGGACTCTGGCATTCAGTTCTAGGCAGAACACTGATAACCTGGGGAGGGAGGCCCCAGAAGAGCTGGGGATCCCCAATTGCATTTAGTCTGGAGAAGAGAGTGACAGCTGTCCTCCAGTGCATCAGCTAGATCGAGCAGCAATGAGTGGGGTTTGCAAAAAGGCAGGAGGAATTACCTATTCTTTAGAATGTTAAGCAGCAAGGCAGAGAAATATCAAAGCTGGGCTTGGAGTCACAAAGACCCAAGTTCAAATCCATTAGTTGTGTGACCCTGGGCAAGTCATTTAACCTTTGCCTGCCTCAGTTTCCTCCTCTGTCAAATAAGGATAAAAATAGCACCTCTCTCTCTCCAGCTTGTTGTGAGGGTCCAATGAATGCATGCGCTTCTTCCCAGTTCTTTGGAAGGTAATGGCCCCTCCCCCCTGGAGTCTCCTTGCAGACAGCTAGAGGAGTGTTTGCCTTGGGGTGTTAGCTCAGAAGGGTAAAGTCCCTTAAGAGACCAGGCAACACTACCGGCTGGGCTGGGACCACCCCAGCTTCCCCTTGAGGGACTGACAAGCCCCAGAGGCGGTCCATGCCTGGCAAGGGAATACACAGCCCAGCCTGGGGTGGGGGAGCGCCTGGGGCAGGCCTGGCACCAGGCAGGCACAGTGGCCTCTCCACATATCGGGCTCCCCTTGTTCGCTGGGTCCTCGCTGGAGGCAGGGTGCTCCCTGTGCCAGAATCCACTCCAGCATCTCACCAGAACGGCCACCCAGCCTTTCCCTGGAGACCTCCCTGAGGGGCTGCCCACCCCACTTGGGCTCTCTGCTGCCCCTGCTCTGGGTTCCTCCCCTGTGGGCCATGAAGACCCCTCCCTTCCTTTCTCCAGGCTAAACACTCCCAGGTCCTTTAGCCCTCAGAGCCCCCTTCTCATGCCGGGCTCCCCTCTCTGGACGCCCACCGGGGTCCTTGCAAGCGTGGACCCCTGGCCGGGGCAGAGGGCTGGGGGCAGGGCAGGGGCTCTGGGTCCCTTGGCGGGACCAGGGACCCTGGCATACAGGCTGTCGTCTGTGTGGCACGCTCAGGACCCTCAGCGAGCCTCAGTTTCCCTACGTGTATATTAAGGCGGTTGGATGGTCCCAGAAATGGGAACCACGGTCCTTGCCCTCCTAACCTCCCGGGATTAGAACACAGTAGGAGCTTAATAAATGTTTCCCGACCGACAGCGTAAGAAGCAGTGTCTAGGAAACTCCATAGAAACGGGGAGTCACCACCCTACACGCTCCTGGGCCCCGTACTGCCCTCCAAGGCCCCCCACCCCCCGCTCCGTCTGGCCACACCTCTGGGGGCGTGCCCAAAGTGACGCGTCCTGCCAGGGGCCTGCCCTCCGCCCCGCCCCTCGGAAGGCTCCCTCGAGGCCTCTCCCCTTCTCCCTCTTAGTTACCCCGCCCACCTCTCCTTAAGAAAATTCGTAGTCTGGGGTCCGCCCCGCCCCTTCTGAGACCTTGGCGCTCTCATTGGGTCCTTCTGCCCCTTCCTGCCCCGCCTACCTTGTTGTGCCTTAAGAAAGGTCATAGTTTTGGTTTCGCCCCGCCCCTTCAGGATCCTAGGGCGCTCAGTGGTTCTTCCCGCCCCCCTCCTGTTTAGGCCACGCCCACATCGGAGTATTTTTTTTGGAACGTTCACTGTCCGTCCCTTGGAGACCTTCTGACGCTCTCATTGGGTCCTTCACACAGCAACGCTTTCGGAAAGCGTCTGGTCTCGGCTGGGCCCCGCCCCTGAGGGAGTGTCTGGCATTCTCATTGGTTAAGGATACCTGCCCCGCCCCGCGCCTATTTTGCATACGTGATGACGCAGTGCCCCCTCGCAGACCCCCGGAGGCGGGAGGGAGCCGACCCCTATCCGGAACCCCGCCCCCTGCCCCGGCTTCGGCCGCGCGCGCGCGCGCCCCCGGCCCGGCAGTGAAGAGAGAGAGAGAGAGACGAGGGACGGAGTGAGCGCGGCGGGGCCGGGCCAGGGGCCGCCATGGAGGCCGAGCCAGGCCCGCCCCAGCTGTGGCTCAAGCGGCGCCGCTGCCTGCTCAGCCTCGACCGCCCGCGGGCGCTGCTGCTTTGGGGGCCCGCCTTGGACCCGGCCCAGGGCCCGGCCGCAGCCCCGACCGCCGGGCCCGGTGAGTGCGCGTGCGCGTGCGCGGGTGGGGGGGGGGAGGCGGAGGGCGCTCGGCCCCACCCCCGTGATGACCCCTCCTGACCCCTGGGGTCGTGACGCCTAGTGCTGAGCCCTACCTCCCCGGGCCTCAGTTTACCCCTTTGTTAGCTGCAGTGCCCTAACCCGGCAGTCGGCCTCGGCATTCTCCCCTGTGTAATGGGCTGCCGCGGGGGCCCCCAGGAGGCCGGCAGGCGCTCCCTCTTCTTCCCGGGGTCAGCCGGCCGGGCCCCTCCGCCAGCACTTATCGAACGCCTGCTGTGTGCCGGGGCCCCGTCGGCCGGGTCGGGTCCCCCCCGCCCCCCGGAACCCTCGGGGGGCAGCAGGCTTGCTTTGGGGGCTCGGGGTGTCCGGGAGAAGCGGGGCTTTCCAGCTTGGGGGCAGGGCCGGGGGGGGGACAGCCGAGGCCCGTCTCCCAGCTCGGGGGTCCTGGGAGCCGGGGGGGGTGGGGCTCGGCCCGGGGTCCCGACTCTGCCCCTTCCTTGACCTCGTTCCCCTGCGTCCCCGGCCTCTGGTTATGGAAGAACCCGGTCCCCAGTCTTTCAGGACCCTGGGCCCTGGCCAGCACGCGGCACATCCCGTTCCTCGGTCAGTCAGTCAATGAGCAGCGACTCCAGCCCCGGAGCCAGCTGAGAAGGGGAGGGGACAGGGCAGAGCCGGCCTGGCGCTGCGGGGCCCGGCTGGGGTGCTCAGGGCCCCGGGTTCTATCACAGCTGCCACGTCCCAGCCCAGTCTGCTGCAGGGACCTCGTCCCAGGCTCCAAAGGGCTGCTTTACGGCCGGTTTATAAATCAGAACAGCCGATAGTAAAGCCATAAATCCGGATGGCAGGACGTGGATTTGAATCCTGCCTCCCTCTTCCCAGCAGTGTGACCTGGGGCAAATTACTGGACCTTTCAGCCTCCAGTTTCTTCATCTGCAAAATGGGGATAAAATGAGCATCTCCCTGCCAGGGTAAGGAAGCGTCACATTCAGAGCCCATTGTAGACCCTGGGTGTAAGCTTGGAATTTATGACAAAGAGAACGAGCACCAGGCTCACATGCTAACAGACTTGGGAAGCGGATCATTGAGCCCTGTTTTGTAGATGAGGGAGAAGAGGCCTAGGTTCACATCCTTCCCCTGCCCTTCCCGGCTCACTGGCTCTGGGCAGGTGCTGAGCTACTCGGGGTCACAGCGGCTTCATCTGTTAAAGGAGCAGGGTGGACTGGATGCCCTGAGGCCCTTTCCCATCTCTGGCCTTTTACTTGGGCTGTGTCCAAGGAGGAGGAGGCTCCTAAGGCCCTTCCTCGGCCACCTCTTAGCCTTGTGATGGAGGACAGAGCACCTTGCTTCTTTTGATCTCACTTCCCTCCTCGGTCAGGTAAAGGTAATGATCCTCCCCAAAGATGCTGACCATCTGTCTATCCAAAGGCCAAATCCGAATGCCTTTCCTCCATTCTCCGGCTCCTTGATGTCTCTGCAGCCTCGGGTGCTGATCGTTCTCTCCTCCCCAGGTCTTCTAGAAATCTCTCTCTTTCCCTCTCCGGTCTCTCCTCCCTCTCCCCCATCCCCCTCTCTCCTCCCTCTTCCCTCCTCTTCCCCCTACCTGTCTGAGCGCTCCTTTGTCTCCTTTCCTGGATCCTTTAGGTCATGTCCTCTGCTTCTCTTCCTCTATCCTGCTTCACTGGGTGACCTTCTTGGCTCCCACGGGTGTAATGACCGTCTCTGCTGGCATTTTTCGGATCTCCCTCTCCTGCCCCAGCCTCTCTGCCCACCCCCAGTCTGGCCTTTCCATCTGGATAGCCCTGAGACATCTTCAAAGCAGTATGTCCAAAACTGAACTCACCCCCCACCCCCACCACCTAGCTCTTCCGTTACTGTGGCAGGCACTGCCGGTCACCCGGGCTTGCACCCTGGCGTCCTGGTTGACTCTTAGTCTGTCTCACCTTCCCCCGGCCCCAGTTCACACACACCTCCCATCCCATCTGTCAGTTTTCTCTTAGCAACATCTCGAATATCCTCCTGTCCTCTGACACTGCCTCTCCCCTGGTGGAGGCAGCACCCCATGCCTGATCTCCCTGCCACACATCTGGCCTCCTTCTGTCCCTTCTCCACTCACCTGTCCATACCATCTTCCTAAAGTGCAGCTCTGACCCTGTCACTCACACTGCCTGGTAAACGTGAGTGCTCCCTAGCACCTCTGGGTTCCCTTCACAGCTCTGCCACTTCCTACCTTTTCAGTCTTCAGACACCTCCCCTCCTGCCCTGACCTGTGATGCCAGCCGATCAGCCTCCGAATTCTTCCTTGAACAAGACTCTCCGTTTCTGGAATGGCTGTCCCCAGTGCCTGGAGCTCATTGCCACCTCACACCCTGGCCTCCTCCAAGTCCCAGCTAAAATCCTGTCTTTTTTAGAAAGCCTTTCCCAATTCTCCTGAATTCTAGTGTTTCCTTCTGTTGATTTTTGGTGTCCGGTCGTGTCCGACTCTTCTGTGACCCCATTTGGGGATGTCTTGGCAGAGATACTGGAGTGGTTTGCCATTTCCTTCTCCAGCTCATTTTACAGATGGGGAAACTGAGGCAAACAGGGTGCACTGGTTTGCCCAGGGTCACCCAGCTAGGAAGTGTCTGAGGCCAGATTTGAACTTCTGACTCGAGGCCTGACACCATCCACTCGGCCACCTGGCTGCCTCTCCTGTTGCGTATTTCCTACTTCTCCTGGCTCTGGCTTGTTTGTACATGTTTGTTTGCATGTTGTCTCTCCAGTTAGACTGGGAGCTCCTTGAGGGCAGAGACTGTCTTTTGCCTCTCTTTGTATCCCCAGCACTTAGCATGTGCCTGGTCCAAAGTAGACACTGAATGACTGTTTATTGGCTGACCTTATAGGATTGTTAGGACAAAAACAGGCTAATGCCTGTAAAGCGTGTTGAGACTGAAGTACAGTGTGAGAGTGAGGTATTATTTGAATCTGGTTTACAGTGTTTTACGTAGCCTTTGCCTGGCTTGGAAGCCAATGAAAGCAGGACAAATACAATGACAAGTACTCCGGGCCATTGCTTGGGAAGCTTTTTCCAGTGATTTCCCATGCAAGTGAAGGAATGGGTGCTGCTGATGACAGAAAAGAATGCCAGGGAGCAGAGCTCTGCCCTGCCTCTGTCCTCCTTGTCCTTCCCTGCTGCCATCAACGCACAGGCCAGGGAGGCAGAAGCTGTTCGTGGACCTCATAGCCGTGTTTTCTGAGCAGTCTCGCTTGCCCTTTGACGTGAGATCCCACAAAGAAAGGAGGTCTGAATGTCAGTAGGAAAGGACTGAGGTCATAAGGCATCTGAGTACCAGGTGAGAGGATGAAAACCACATGATGGGAGATGGCTGTAGGGAGCATAATATGCCACATCTGGTTTGAGTTGAGTTTGTGAATGAGAACATGCAGAACACCTTATATTTATGTGGTTTTTACCCCACCCCATGGTGATAAACACTCCCTAGAAGGGTCCACAGGAGCAGGTTTTGACAGGATATTGACAGAATATTTGCAAGGACTGCTCTCTGTAGGTGATAGTCTGGATTCCCTGCCCTGTGGCTCTTGCTGGAGGGTTCTGCAGATTACCCCAAAGGCTTCAGGTGGGCTTTCCTCTTTATTACAGCTCCACATGCCAGTAATTTGTTGGACTGGCCATTGGCAAACTAGATATCGATTGAGCTCTTTCTGCCCAGCTTGGTCAGTGGGTCTGGCATACCTTTGTAAATCAGTGTGTTTGTGAGAGGTGTAGAGCAGGTTAGCATCGTGGGCTCTCAGAGCTGGGTCTTTTCAGTGGCCTTGGAAAGGTGTGGTTTCTCTCGGGTGAGCAGGACTGAGGCCCGACCTGCCAGTGGGATCCCTAAGAAGTCTCTGGGTTGCCATTTCTCCCCCTGTTCCTTTCATAGGCCGTGATGGCAGCGCTTTTCCAACCTCAGAGCAGTCGGCACTTTATATTTGGAGGATCCAGCCTTAGTTTCCCTCAGAGCGGTACCTCTGTATTTCTGGCCTTGCTAATCCTGCCTTGGACCATGGGTTTGGGCCATATGTGGTGAATTCTGAGATCTGATTTCATTTTGTTCTGAACCATCCACATTCATTCTCTGGTAGAGCATTTGTGTTCTCCAGGGCGGTCCTCTGTGACACTGGAGGGCCCCATCGCAAGGAGAGGCATGAGGAGGTGTGAGTTGTGCTCAGAGCCTTGAGGACACTTGTCACAAACGTCTTCTGTGTGTATTCCATGGGGGATGACAGTAGTATTTTATTAACTGTAATTTATCTGTTTGGAATTCTGGACAAGGTCATGGTATCTTCAAAACGAATTGATTCTCTCATTTTCAAAAACTTTAGAGCAGGAAAGGGGCTGGCCTGTTGAAGTAAAGATGGAATGTCTGGGGTCTAGAGGCCTGAGTAGTAGCAGGGTTAAGATCCAGCACTCTTCCTGTAGGTGAGAAAAACCGTTTGCAGCAAGACTTGAAGTCTGAGAGCACAGACATAGCTGTGCTCACCTGCCTGGGGCGCTTTGGGCCACTAGCTTAATGTCCCTGCCTCCCTCTTGGCATGTATAAATCAGGAAGCATTCTAATCCTTCATCTCGGCTCGCCTTTAGCTCTAAATCCTGCGTCCTTGGTAGAGAGGAGTTCGCTCTGCTCCGGTGGGCCCTGAAGGCTTTCTAGTGCTCCTACCCAGGGCCGGGGCCAGGCCTGGAGTTGGCCTTTGCCTGACTGTTGTACCTGCCCTGGGGGCCTTCCTCTAGGAACCCGAAGGTGAGCACCTCCTCTGAAGGGGCTGCTCCTAACTGCTGTTTAATTTTTGCTCATTCTTGTTTGGCAGAATGTCTTTGACTGATTCCAGTCATTTCATCTGTTTATTTCTCTCTCCCATTTGAAGAAGATTTATTTAAAAGTCTTTATTACCTGTTATGAGCTTGGGATACAAAGACTGAAAAGAATACTGGCCTACGCACTCATA